CTTTAACCCTGTTTGGCTTTTATTTATATATATTCAAACAAATGAGATATTAAGACTGCAAAAACTAAAAGAATCACAGTTCATTATACCTCATTTCATGTTTTTTCCACTGACTTTCTCAAAGAATGAAACCGCTTCAATCCCCACTTAAAAAAATAGCCCTCTGGTTCTAAAAGAATTTCAAATTGATTATATTGTCCAAGGAATTTTTAGCAAGCAATGAAAATTTAAACTCAGCTGAGTAAATCCATCCTGGGCCCATTTTATGATACAGTCTTTATATACTGATTTTATGAATATCAAGGTGTTTACTATGCATGTATAAAAGGTACATGGACTATACTAACAGTTTTCCTTCTAAAACAAAAGCATTAATCAATGATCTATAGCTCAGAATCCTGCAAGGAGGATGCATACTATTTCATGTTGTAACTATAAGCCCTCCTATTCATTTGAATAAATTAGTAGAAGCAGCAGTGTTTAGAGTTAAATACAATAGAAATCCCAGTCTTTGGTCTTTGACATTTAAACAACTAATGAACTGTGGTATAAAACAATATGAATAACAGTGCTCAATGAGGTCATTCGTTAGTTTATGATTGTTTTAGATGAATAAAAATGCAATACTATTTTTCTTTTGATCATAACATTTGGAAATATTCATCACTATAATATACACTAGTACACAGAAGAAAATAATTTCTCCAAGTATTTTTAGATATGGTCATATGAGCAATTCTAACTAGACCAAAGCTACTGGAAGAATAAGGTGACAAGACCTCACTCATAAAAGACTCAAAGGTGAGTTTGGTTTTGATGGCTATATGGAGAATTTGGCCATTAGATATCTTCAACTATTTTAATAATTTAGTATTATGATATTGATATTAACTGCCATAAAAAGCAGCACTTAAATGCCTAAACCCTCTCCATATCTCTACCTATTGCTGCCTCATACAGAGATACCAAGTTTGCAAGGATATAATTCATGAGGAGTTTTACTGTATCAATGCCAGTTTTATAAAATGAGGCACTGTCCAATTAAGTATTCAGATGGCAGAATATGTGGGAATTTTGAATGGCATAACATGTTACAAGGAATGCAGCAACTGACCTTTGTGATCAAATTACCATTTATTCAAAAGACCAATGCCTTTTAGTTTGATGGAGATAAGTAATCATAGAATGATTAACAGAGAATAAATATTTGGTAAATACTTCTAATAGTTTCCTAAATGATCATATGTAATAAGACCTAAATACATTTGTTTTCTCTTTAATGTTAACCATATTACTGAAGCCTGTCAACAAAGTATGGTTTTCTGAAGGGGACATTAATGTTCCAATAATTACAGTAAGAAAGGGAGTGTTAAAAAAGGAATAGGGATTGGCTTCTGGGAAGGTGTGCATTTCAACATTTATAAACAACATGTTTAGGCATGGAAGGAGATCAATAACAAGTTCAGAAGAGGCTACTGAACTCAAGATTGCTGAGTCTTTTCTTAAGGGAAACATGGAAATTTAGAGATCAAGGTAACCAAACAAAACTTTCAGTTTTGTATAACTGTTCCAAAGAGAAATAAATGGTGATCGTGATAATTAAATCTATTTCTTAAGGTCATATGAGTAAGTGGGAGGAGAAACACAGTTTTAACTCCTGGCTCCATTTTCAGAGATCTGAGGTACTGAAATCCAAGATTTCCAGGTTAATGTAAAATACAAAGCATACAGTTTTTCAATAACTGGTTAAGTAGTTGAAAAGTAGTTTTGTATCAGATTATTCAGTTTATGGTTCACAGTAAAATAAGAGAAAGAAAAATGGACTAAGAAGTACAGAATAGAAATTTTGGAAGAAATTTGGAGGTGTGTTTTTTGGGTGGGAGAAGGGCGAATGTCTTACTGAAATATTCTGAAGGAAAAAAATAGCTTGTCCTCTTTGCTTCTCTCATTTTGACCTCAGAACCTGAAGGCAGATACTTCTCTGGGTATCAGTTCTCAGCTAAGAATTTAAATGCTAGGAATGCTGTCCGTTCTCTTTCTTCTCTTTCTTTCTTTCCTGTCTGCTTACCTGCCTTGCTCCTTTCTTCCCTTACTAACTTCTCCAGTTAAACCAATACCAAGCTTAGGGTCCATATAGAACACTTCACAGAAATCACATTTCTGAGTTTAATTCGGGAAAGATGAAATTTGCATCTAAGTAAAGTGCACTATATTTATATACCTTGTAACACAAAAGTGGTACTGGGAAAACAGATAACAGATCTCTTTGGGTAGTCTGCAATTAAGAAAACTCTGTATCAAGAAGCAAGCGTCTTCCTTTATGGGGAAATTAAGGACTTTTCAAAGCAAACCTCTATGCCTTTAATAAAAGCCCAAACTCTGAGGCTGAGTTTATACTTAGATTCTAAGAATCTGAAACATCCAGTCAACTAATTTAAACCAACCACTTAGAGTTAGTTGGATAGGAAATCCATCTGTATCACTATTTTTTTTTTAACCACATTGAGCAGATATTTTTACATCATCTATACATAGTCTAAATCTCTTATACATTTCTTTTGAACTGTGTTTATAGCATTTAAACTACATGTGAATTCAAAATTTGACCTCCCTTCATTGGAATTGGTTTTTTACACTTTTTATCTTTTCTCCTCTCATCACATATAGCTTAACATTTTAACAGCCCCATTCGCCTTCTATAATATTTGCTCTTGGAACTAGAACATGTTAGAGCTGGAAGGAATCTCAAGAGATCATTTGATTCAACACTTTGTAAAGTTGTAAAGTTGAGTAAACTAAAGCCTGGATATATTCCCAGACTGTCTAAATCAGCTGATTGATTAGAAGATGGAGCTGAGATTAGAAACAGGGTTAATCACTAAACAAAATAATTGTTCCCATTTGACTAAAAAACTTTCTGACTGTTTTAATTTAGGGATGTTTATAATTTGAGTATGCCCCAAATTAATAAATAGTGTTTTCCTAAAAGGCCCATGATACAGTGATTAGCACCCATAATTTCTCAAAATTTCTCATGTTTTCTTTCTTTCCTGTCTGCTTACCTGCCTTGCTCCTTTCTTCCCTTACTAACTTCTCCAGTTAAACCAATACCAAGCTTAGGGTCCATATAGAACACTTCACAGAAATCACATTTCTGAGTTTAATTCGGGAAAGATGAAATTTGCATCTAAGTAAAGTGCACTATATTTATATACCTTGTAACACAAAAGTGGTACTGGGAAAACAGATAACAGATCTCTTTGGGTAGTCTGCAATTAAGAAAACTCTGTATCAAGAAGCAAGCGTCTTCCTTTATGAGGAAATTAAGGACTTTTCAAAGCAAACCTCTATGCCTTTAATAAAAGCCCAAACTCTGAGGCTGAGTTTATACTTAGATTCTAAGAATCTGAAACATCCAGTCAACTAATTTAAACCAACCACTTAGAGTTAGTTGGATAGGAAATCCATCTGTATCACTATTTTTTTTTTAACTACATTGAGCAGATATTTTTACATCATCTATACATAGTCTAAATCTCTTATACATTTCTTTTGAACTGTGTTTATAGCATTTAAACTACATGTGAATTCAAAATTTGACCTCCCTTCATTGGAATTGGTTTTTTACACTTTTTATCTTTTCTCCTCTCATCACATATAGCTTAACATTTTAACAGCCCCATTCGCCTTCTATAATATTTGCTCTTGGAACTAGAACATGTTAGAGCTGGAAGGAATCTCAAGAGATCATTTGATTCAACACTTTGTAAAGTTGTAAAGTTGAGTAAACTAAAGCCTGGATATATTCCCAGACTGTCTAAATCAGCTGATTGATTAGAAGATGGAGCTGAGATTAGAAACAGGGTTAATCACTAAACAAAATAATTGTTCCCATTTGACTAAAAAACTTTCTGACTGTTTTAATTTAGGGATGTTTATAATTTGAGTATGCCCCAAATTAATAAATAGTGTTTTCCTAAAAGGCCCATGATACAGTGATTAGCACCCATAATTTCTCAAAATTTCTCATGTTATAATTTGCATATTAAGCAAAAACCAATGTGAAAGTTTATCACAGTAAATTCTAATGTTTTACCTTAAATAAATTAAACTCATATGTTAGGATATGACTGTTTAAGCAATTTCACTTCTTATTTTTACTCCAATATTGATTTAAAGTTTTGTATAATAACACCCGACACCAGTTCTATTTTAAAAGCAATAAAATTGTACTAGCTTTCTGACTTTGCTTAGTACAGAATACAATTAGTGAAATGGAGCTTTTTTCAGATATTTGATATGTTACATTGTCCAAACAATACAATTCTGGTCAAAGGGTTCACTTGGTTGCTTGCATTACTTGAATATCTTACTTCAGCTAATCAAATTATTTCTACAAGTTCCAATCTCCAACTTCACCCTGTGCCACAGAGTCCTGAACTCCCAAGCTTCTACAGTCATGGACCCCCAAAATGAAAGTTCCACACACCTGTAATATAGTGTGTACTGGGGATAAAGATGGGTTGACATGTGAAAATTAAAGACTTACCTTATAGTAATCAAGTCACCTTCCCATAGTAGGAACTATTTAATACAATTTTCTATTCTTGGATTCTGTAAATTGCAAGAATTCGAGTTAAGGAGTGTTGTGGAAAGTGAACCTACAGTATTTTGGATTTATTAGGAGAGAATTTACAAAAATAAGCATTGGAGGATGGAAGAAACTATGCTCTCTGATGTCAGCGTAGCTTAACAGTCTAATAAAAATAACTAAATATTAACAGCTGCAAGGGAATGTGACTAAATTCCTTAAAATAAGAATCTGATTTAGTAAACACATTTTCAACATGTCTGCTAACAGTTGTATGTTTTACTGTTTAAGCATGGATTTTAATTTAATTTCTACCATCCTTAAGTCTTAATCTCCAATAAAAAATACATAGATATAATTCTGTAGATGATATTCCAATGGAAAGTGAATTCATTCTCAGTATTAGGCATCACAGTAGTTTTTATTTATTTAGGATGTTTGCATTTTAGCAGTCTGAGTTAAGTATAAGGTGAATGAAGCAAACAAAAATTGTACTGTTAGAACCTAGTGGATATTATGTCAATTAAAAAAAAACTATGGATTCTATACTATCAGTATGTCCCTCTTAATCCTATCTTATATTGCAATAAATTAGATGTTTTGTTAAAAGCAAATACGTCACATGCAATAGCCAAGTAAATACTACATAAGGCCATTCAGATCTGACAAATGATGGTATAATGGCATTTTGTTAATTCTGTAAAGATTCTATTGCTGAGAGCTTTCAAAATTACCTAATGTACAAAATTCTTGACTTAGTAGACAAAGAGTAACAACACAGTGAATTTAAAGAAACAAATAAAACTCAGGGTGGGATTCTATCTTGTCTTGTTAAAAACCATGTATTGAATTGAATTTTTAGTAAAGCAAGCATTACATAATGCTTTAAAATTTTAAAATTCGGGGATAAAAGTTTACATCCAAAAAGATGAATGGAAAATTGTGCTTTCAGACTGTAGAATTAGTTTTCTTACAGGGTTAACCATGTCATCTTGCCATTGGATACTGGGAATTTCATCTATGTAAATGTATATATGTGCAGTCCATATCCAGGTCCTGCAAAAATCTAAAACTGTGTGCTTCACTTCATGTAGCAAAGGCACCTATGTTATTCTCCCTTCTGAGCAAAGATTATGATCCAGTTTTCCTGCTGAAGATGGTTCTTCCACTGTTCTGTCACTCACACTCGCCGGGTCGAGCAGCACAGAAAATCGAGGGGGGAGGTGGCCAGACTCCCCGCTTACCCCGGAAGGAGATGCTCTGTGGACCATTTGGAGAAGCTCTGGACTGATCACGAGGGAAACGGAGCAGAACTGTGAAGCAGACGGACGGGAACAAAAGGCTATTCTGGTGTGAGGAGAGATCAGTCACTTCAGCTCCACAAGCAGATGTTGCTACTGGACTGACACGTGGACCCGACCCCGGCTGGAGACAAGTACAGTTTGCCGTTGGGGCAGACACACAGTTCATACACTGTCTGCCGAGAATGGGAGGAGCTGGGTGAAGAAGGGGAAAAGGAGCCCGTTGGTAGGTTTCCCAGCCGGATTGTATCCGCGTTCAAAAATATCTAGGAGGAAAGAAACCGCATATTACTTCCTCTTAGCATCCTATATTCTTAAGATCTTTACAACATGATCTAATAAGACCACAGGACAAACAATTCTGTTGGTTTAGCTGCCAAGCTTTGTGGAACCCACAAATTGTATTCCTGCGGTACAACCGGCTACCCCAGCCTTTGACACGTGGTGTCAGAGAGATGGTCCTCCATCGGAAAAGCAAGATGGTACAATCTGCTTAGGGGGCCAACCCAGTTATTCAAACACCCCAGAAAATGAATGATTTTGACTGTCTCTTAATTTCACTTAATCTTGCCAGTCTAAAGAATATACGGAGAAATAAGGATGGTTAGGGACATGCCATTAGTGAAGTGATGGGCAACTAATTTAACAAATTTGACTCTCTGGTTTAATTTTTTTTTTAAATACTCATAAAATCATGTTGACTCACAGTGGACACCAAGTAGATAATGTGCACAATAAACAACAGATAATTAATTAAATATAATCAGGTTTGAAGTCTCCCAGAAAAAATATATTACCTGCACTTAACACCTATGCTGCTAAATGTAACTTGCAAAATTACTTCACTTATTTCAAATCATGGACTCAACACTTTCCGGGCCAGCGATCATATGGTTTTGACATGCATGGGGAACCATCCAAAGAAAGGAACATTAGATCATGAATTTGAATGAGCAAAGAAACTGGACTCTTACTAGCTAGGTCTTGATTCTATTGTTATGTAGCTAATTATTGCCTACAGGCATCTCTAAATTGACAGGAGAACCAGAGAATACTCCTTTTCCCACACTTGTGCCTTCATCCTGAGTCCTAATCATTTCTACTAGGACTCTTGCATTAGCCCCCTAATTGGCCTCCCAGGGGTCACTCTTGTCCTCTTCCAGTCTATTATACAAATGGTGGCTGGAGTGAACTAAGAAACACAAATCAAATAATGTCATATCATGCTCACAATTCTCTAACGGTCTCCACCACACTTAAAATTAATCTTGATTACTTTTCACAGTCCACCAGGCCTATAAGATCTGGCCTATCTCTCTAAAATCATCTCCTTTAATTCTTAACTGGAGCTCTCACATTTTCTCAAACATACCAAAACAACTTTGACCTCAGGGCTTTTTAATTCCTTGTGTTCCTAGCCTGAAAAAAATTTCTCCAAATATTTACAAGTGAGGATAGATATTAATGGGGTGGTGAGAGTTTCCCTGGAGGCTCAGTGGTAAAGAATCTGCCTGCTAACATAGGAGATGTGAGTTCGACCCCTGGGTTGGGAAGATCCCCTGGAGGAGGAAATGGCAACTCACTCTAGTCTTCTTACCTGGAGAATCCCATGGATAGAGGATCCTGGTGGGCTACAGTCCATGGGGTTTCAAAAGAGTTGGTCATGACTTAGTGACTAAACAGAGAATAGGGATAGGAGGGAGATTTCCCCTGTTGCCTCTTTTTTTATATATATTTAAAATTTTTTGAAATATAGAAATCTATGGCACATTTAGAATAAGCCAGAAAAATAATTCCTATATCACAGAAGTGTATATTTCAGATTAATTTTAGATTTGAGCATATTTGTTCAGGTCTCTACTAAAAGGTCACCTGCTAAAAGAGGACTTTCCTAACCTCCCTATTAAAGTGACACAAATCCAGTAATCTCTCCTTACCAGCTTTATTTATCTCTATAGTAACAATCCCTTTCTAACATTATATTAAGTGTGCATTCATTTATTCATTGTTTACTTCTCTTATTTGCAAGTAATATCTGTTAGGGCAGGACCTGTCATTGGTTCAAGTTCATAGAACAGTGAATAGAATCATGCCAGTGCAAGTTGCAGGATACAATGCTTTTCTTGCACCTTCTACATGTCTCTTTTCTCTAGGCTACAGTTCTCATCCTCCACCAAAACCAGTTCATGTTTCATCCTCCATGGATCTTTCTCCAGTGCCCCAAGATGGAAAGACTTCTTATTTGGTTCTCACATGGCATTTTATTAATATCTTTTTGGTTCATCACTTGATATTTTATAGTCATTTTGATATATTACTTTCCCTAATAAACCATGACCTTCTTGAAGTCTTATTTTTTGTATAACTTCACAGTGTTTGACCTTGTACATATAGCTTCCATATAATACAAATAGTTTTTTAATAAATGGATAAATTATGCAGTAAAAATGATTGCCTTTACCAACAGCATTCAAAGTTAAGAGACCATAGTTAAAGTTTTTGTTTGTAGGTAGCATAATTAAAGGTTTTGTTTGTAGGTATCAAATGCTGAAATTTTTTTTTCCATTTATTTTTATTAGTTGGAGGCTAATTACTTTACAACATTGCAGTGGTTTTTGTCATACATTGAAATGAATTAGCCATGGATTTACATGTATTCNAGTGCCGAAAACTTCCCCCAGTCCCGCCAGTGAGAGGGTTTCCTGGTGATTGGAAACTTCCTCTATTAAGACTCCCTTCCCGGGACGGGTCTCCGTCCGTAGCTCTTTTATCTCCCTTTTTATCTTTTATATTTTGTCCTACCTCCCTTCGAAGACAATGGGCTGCTTTTCTGGGCGCCTGATGTCCTCTGCTAGCGATCAGAAGTTGTTTTGTGAAGTCTGCTCAGAGTTCAAATGTTCTTTCGATGAATTTGTAGGGGAGAAAGTGGTCTCCCCGTCCTATTCCTCCGCCATCTTGGCTCCTCCCCAAATGCTGAAATTTTATTACTTCATAATTTTTTCCAGGTTAAGTGACCAGAAAGCAAACAGAAAGAAAGGACTTCTGTTTTTTTAAGAAAATTTTCTTTTCTCCTGATGCAAAAGTTAAAAGTGTACAAAACTAAGGAAAAGAAAATGACAACACATTTTTGGGGTATAAATGCTGGGCCTCATTTCCTTAGTAAGCATAGAAACAGGTGTTACTGACAATTCCAGTGGCTTTCAGAGGCTTGCTGACACCAGGCCACATCACTGAGTTTTATAGTTTGAAACTGATTGTGTTTCCATTGGGGTAGCCTGACTGAATAAATGTGGAGAGTAGCTATTTTTACACAAGTTGGGCATTCAGGTAGCAGCCTCAGAAAGCAAGCCTAGCTGTGGTGGCCTCATCAATGGAGTTAGCCTTGAACCTTGTGTGTGGCCTGCTTCAGTTAAGCTCCAGCAGTGCCCTCCAATTCTTGGGCTTCGCAGGTGGTGCTAGTGGTAGAGAACCTGCCTGCCAGTGCAGGAGATGTAAGGGATGCAGGTTCGATCCCTGGGTTGGGAAGATACCCTGTAGGAGGGCATGGCAACCTACTCCAGTGTTCTTGCCTGGAGAATCCCACGGGTAGAGAAAACCTGGAGTGCTATAGTCTATAGGGTCACAGAGAGGCAGACACAACTGAAACAACTTAGCATGCATGCACTAGACAATATTTAGCTCTATGAGAATACTTAATTCCATAAACTTCTGAGATCCACACTGTAGCCTCACCCACATATGGGAAGTAGCTTTTATTAATAGATAAAATGAATAGGACATTTGAAAAGAGAAAAAAGAGTGTTAATTTGTGGTTGGCTAAAAATTTGTTCGTGTTTTTTCCATAACATCTTACAGATAAACCTAAGTGAACTTTTTGGCCAACCGGAAAGACTGAAGGTGGGAGGAGAAGGGGATGGCAGAGGACGAGATGGTTGGATGGCATGACCGACTCGATGGACATGAGTTTGAGCAAGCTCTGGGAGTTGGTGATGGACAGGAAAGCCTGGCGTGCTGCAGTCCATGGGACTGCAAAGCGTCGGACATGACTGAGCAACTCAATCAAACTAATTATATGGGAATGGATGATAACTAGACCTTTGGTGGTGATTTATTTTGTAGTGTATGAAGTGAAGTGAAAGTTTCTCAGTTGTGTCCGACACTTTGTGACCCCATGGACTATAGTTCATGGAATTTTCCAGGCCAGAACACTGGAGTGGGTAGCCTTGTAGTATATACAGATGTCAAATTATGATGGTGTACATCTGAAATGTATAGTGTTATATACAACTTTTATCTCAATAATAATATAAAATTACATAAGAAAAGGAACAAAGAAGAAAAGAGAAAGAGAAGAAAATGCTTGTAAACAGCTTAATTCTAGTGAATTCTCAAAATAAAATCCTGAATTTTGAGTTAGCCTTGCAGATATAACATCCTTCCACAAAAGGATGGATGATTGAATAATCAATGGATTTCCACATAAAAGATAGAAAAAGAAAAGAAAGGAGAGGTAGAATAATGTTTTCTGGATTTGAGACAGAAAAGCAAGTTATGAAGTAAAACAGAGTGTTGTATATTCTTTTCAAACCTTCCATCTTCTCCAGGCTTCTGCAACTTGGATGGACTCACTCATACCTCTGTCTGTTCTGCTTAAGGCAGTTACTGTGACACTGCTCACTTCCAAACTTCTAAAACTGATATTTTTATTCCATATTGCCCTATAAACTATATATTCCATTCACTCTGAAACTCTTCCAGGCACTCAGACTAACATCCCTGAGCTTTTCAGTCAAGGCTCACTGTCTTCTCTCAACAAGAATGAATTTATCCCATTCTTACCTGTTGAAATCAGACCTGTTGCTGTAGCAAAATATTCAAATAGTTTGCAAAGTAAACACTGATTTCTCCTTCCTCTGTCATCTTGTAACATATATGTTATTAAGTTACTGCATTGCATATGTTATTATAACACTTTCAGTATTTTACCTACAATTGTCATTCATGGTGTTTTCAGAGCTGAATTTGAAATCTGTTGCAATACTATGTCTGAGACGGTTGAAACTTTTGCAGTGTACAACTGTGTGTGCAGTTTTCTTCTTACTTATTTGGGCTACCTCAATACAATTTTTGTTCTGATCTTAGTGAATTTAAGTACTATTTAAGGGTAGGGACTTCATATTTTTCTATACTGTTAATTGATTGATCTATACAATTAATTGATTGATTTTCTGTGACATAGTCAGTGAAGCAAAGAGGAAGATTTTACATAATTTCATATCTCTTCTTAGAAAAATTATATGCTATTTTATTTTAATAGAAAGTGATGTGCTTTTTTGTATCTTTATTTTATTAATATAAAAAATGGCTGCAGCTGAAAACCTTTGGCTATAACTTATGTATAGCATAATACTCAATTCACGATTGAATCTTAATCTGTAATTAAATTCAAGGATTCTGCTGATACTTTGAATATGAGAACATAAGTAAAGTGGTGCATAAATAAGAGTGGAATGGTGATTAATAACAATCAATACTTATTATGGGATGATTCATTATGAATAATTTGAATGAAATGATTAACATGACAAAAACAATGCTTTAAAAAAGATGTGAGATATTTAAGAAAGATTTCTTTCTTGATGTGGTAGACAAAGTATTGTTGTCTGCAACTGTAGTGGAAAGAAATCCTGAAAGGTAATATGGATACATATTTTCAATATTATAAACATATTTCTAGATTATTTAATCTGTAATATACAGTAAGATACTAATGATCCTGGAAATAAATTTGTTTATAAAAAAGAAGCCAAGAAGTTGTGGTGAAAGTGAAAGTGAAGTTTCTCAGTCGTGTACGACTCTCTGTGATCCCATGGACTATATTTATAGCCCACCAGGATCCTCCATCCATGGGATTCTCCAGGCAGGAATACTGGAGTGGGGTTGCCATGTCCTTCTCCAGGGGATCTTCCCAACCCAGGGATTGAACCTGGGTCTCCTGCATTGCGGGCAGATGCTTTACCCTCTGAGCCACCAGGGAAGCCCAAAGTTGTGGTGTGTATGTGTATATAGATATATATATATATATATATAGATATAGTGGAATATTACTCAGCCATAAAAAGGAATAAATTTGAATCAGTTCTAGTGAGGTGGATGAACATAGAGCCTGCTATACAGAGTGAAATCAGAAAGACAAAAACAAATATCACATGTTAACACATATATATGGAATCTAGAAAAATGGTAACTGTTCCAGCTATTTGCAGGGCAGGAATAGAGACTCAAGCATAGAGAAGAGATTTACAGACACAGCCGGGAAATGAGAGGGTGGGACAGAGAACAGCATTAAGATATACACATTACGACATGTGAAATAGATAGTTAATGGGAAGCTGCTGTATAATGCAGGGAGCTCAGCCTGGTGCTCCATGAACCTGGTGCTCCATGAACCTGGTGCTCCATGAACCTGGTGCTCAACCTAGAGGGGTGGGATGGGGCGGGAAGTGGGAGGGAGGTTCAACAGGAATGGGACTTACGTATACCTATGTCTGATTCATGTTGATGTATGGCAGAAACGGACACAACATTGTAAAGTGATTATCCTCTAATTAAAAATAAAAACATTTTAAAAAAGGAAGCCAAATGTGTAATTCAAATTTATCTCGAATCAACAACAGATACTGGCATAAAGGTAAGAAAGGAAGTTCTCCTTTAATTCTATTAATATCTGTCCTCATCTTTACATGGAAGAAGGTCCGAAATGCTCCAGAGCATCTCTCTCAAATCACCCTTCTATGCTTTTCCTTCTCAGCTTGATCTTTATAAACTCATTAAAAAAAAAATCACATGAAGAAAAGGGAAGTAACTGGTAAAAATAGCATCACAACAGATTTAGTCCTTTAAGGACTTTGGGAATTATGACAAAAATATACAGAATCAATATGCATTATGTATCAGGTTTTGAAATAATTAAGGTAGAATTAAAAGCAAATGAGACTAATTACCAAGATGTCCAAGCAGATTTGAACAACAACAACAAAAAACCAAGAGATAAGAATCTTAGAAATGAATGACAAAATTACTAAAATGAAAAGCTTGATGGAAGGATTGAAAGAGAGATTAGATACTGAGTAAGAACTGGGGCATGTAGATCTGAATAAACAGGCAGAGTGAGGCACAGGGTAATAAGGAAATAGAAATGAAGGTGAGGTTAAGGGATGTGGAAGGTTAAGAGAATGAAAAGACATATCTTCAGAGCTTCTGAAAAAGGCCTAGAGCGCTAGAGAAAAAGGGGAGAGGGGATATCTGAAGACATAATGCTGAGGACTTTCCAAAATGGACAAAAGTGTGATTCTGTACACATAATGGTCACGATGTATATAACAAGTAAAGTAGACAAAATAAATATGTGCCTATCACATTCCAGTAAAAAGAGTGGAAGGCCGAAGACAAAGCGTTCTTTTAAATCAGGCAGTGAGAGAAAGCAAGGTTCTTTAAAGGAGTGAGGACAACTGACTTTAAACAGACGCTTGGGTGAAATAAAGTGACATGGAAGAAGATCATCATGTATCTCCTTATCTAAGAAATAACTGTGTGAAATTTTAGAAAAATATAGGTACTCTTTCTACCGAAACAAACACATGAACTTTCAAAGCACTTTGTAGAAAAACTTTTTGAAGACCAACACAGAACAAAGACAGCAAAGATCGCCTTCATTCTGGGTATTATCTTGGTGTTTGTTTTGTTCACCTGTCGATCTTGAAATTGCAGGAATTTAGATGCCCAACTTACAATCAACTTATGAATGAATATATTTCAGTAGAAAAAAAAACTATGACTTATGAAAATAATATTTGGTTTAACCAGTCTCATATTCAAGAAGTATTCATATTTTCATAATTTGAACCCTTTTATGATCTTATGAAGTAGTCCCTTATGCTTCCCCTGGAACCATATGCTTGTAATATGATAAGAAGCAAATGCACCCCCCTGCCCCCAGATTAAAGGGCCAGTGTCTGCTTCTCAGAACTTACCTCCCCCTCTGTGGACTGCAAATGCAGCTCCTTCCTGCAGGTGGCCTTGAAGTCTCCAGCTGCAGCACTCACCTGGACCCCCCGAGGAGCTTCCATTATCAAGGACCTGGTTGGTGATTCGAGCCTAAAAAAAAAATTAACAAAAACAAAATCCCTAAAACCTTAATATTGAAAAGATACTGCTAGTCAACTAAAACAAACAGGCAGGTATAAATACCAATGCCTGCCATTAAAAAAAAAAATCTAAAATGGGTTTTACAAAGATTTTGTATTGTATTCTCTATTTTTTGGCTCTTTATGAAATTCTTCAATTGTTAGCATCGATTCTTTAGTCTCATTTGTATAACGATTTAGTAACAGTTTCCTGTGTTGTTTCCCTTCACAATGCCCGTGAAAAGTAAGTCATGATAAGTTTACCAGTTTAAATCTTTTATACATTTTCAGTATTGATGATGGAGTTTTAAGCAGTAAATTTGTAGCAAGTTAACATGTAAGTATCCCTCAAGTTGCCTTGCTAAGATGAGTTTTAATGAAAATATTTACTATTGAGAATTTTCAAGTGTGCCCAGTCAAAATTCTGTAAACTAAAGAATTCTCAAAGGGCTCTTTACAGTTCTAGAAATTAGTTAAAATGAAGATAAGATATTTCCTACATCAACTGACCTCTATTAGCCCAAGAAAATGTCCTCAGAATGAATGACATTAGTCTGAGAAAGAAAAATTAAATGAGGGGTGAGACACAAGTGTTTTAGATAGGCTGCAAAAAGGATAGTTGGAAGGGATTTCAAAATTATCTTCAAATATAAACCTAGAGAAAGAGCAAATGGAAGTAAAATACAGAAGCAAGAAAATAGTCATAAAAAGCACTCGGTGTGATACGAGATCTTATCCTGGAGTGGGTCATTTTGGATAATAGCTCTGCTCTGGGGCTGTGATTGCCTGCGTTCTGTTGACCACGGGACTTCAGAACAAAAGTTCGTTCAGGCTCACCTTCAACATCATCCAGAGTAACTGGTCTCCTTTGAGGTTACAGACTCAGAACAGATGTGCAGAGAGAACCTCATGGAATAGTTTGAGCACTGAAGATCAGCTCCCTCTCTCTCAGTAAAGTTGAACTTAAAGACTTGAAAGTGATATTGAAGGACCAGAGCCAGCATTTAGAAGTGATTTTGATGCTTTAAACATTTTTTCACTCACCAGAGAAACTTTGAAACTTTGATTTCTGGGTCTTTGGGATATCTTCACAAAATCCCCGGAGGGGGCAGGTTTTGATTATATGAAAGTATTAGTCACTCAGTCATGTCCAACCCTTGGCAACCCCGTGGACTATAGCCCACCAGGCTCCTCTGTCCATGGGATTTCCCAGGCAAGGACACTGGAGTGGGATACCGTTTCCTTCTCCAGGGGATCTTCCTGACCGCGGACCAAACCTGGGTCTCCTGCGCTGCAGGAAGATTCTTTACCATCTGAGCCACCAGGAAAGCCCTTGATTATATATATATACATATAAATGAAATGTCTGTTTGGTTTTTCTTTAAACACAAATCACACATTTTCATAGAATATTTGCAAACTTCAAAAAGAATTACTCATAAGTTTTTTGATTCATAATCCTTATACTTTGTACATAGTTTCTAAATTTCAAAATCTGAATGTTTAAATGTAAATTTACGTGATACACCCCCAAATATACTCCATCTTAAATGGTGCATTTGAGACCATTACTATTTCTATTTGGTAATTACCTATAACATTAAGTGTAATTAGGTACGTTTGGACATGATTGAACCACTGAAACAGAAGTCAGGTAAGAATTTAACTAACATGGATTAATGTTCAGAAACAGATTATAAGTCTGACAACTAAGGAAACACAACTCGATGAACTTGGGGTTATTTTGTCAAATAATTGATACGGTTTAGTTTGCAAGGATAAGGGAGTGGGATACTTATATTTGACAGTAAAATATCTCTATTAAGTGTGAACATTTTTTTTAGAATGAATGACATTAGTCTGAGAAAGAAAAATTAAATGAGGGGTGAGACACAAGTGTTTTAGATAGGCTGCAAAAAGGATAGTTGGAAGGGATTTCAAAATTATCTTCAAATATAAACCTAGAGAAAGAGCAAATGGAAGTAAAATACAGAAGCAAGAAAATAGTCATAAAAAGCACTCGGTGTGATACGAGATCTTATCCTGGAGTGGGTCATTTTGGATAATAGCTCTGCTCTGGGGCTGTGATTGCCTGCGTTCTGTTGACCACGGGACTTCAGAACAAAAGTTCCTTCAGGCTCACCTTCAACATCATCCAGAGTAACTGGTCTCCTTTGAGGTTACAGACTCAGAACAGATGTGCAGAGAGAACCTCATGGAATAGTTTGAGCACTGAAGATCAGCTCCCTCTCTCTCAGTAAAGTTGAACTTAAAGACTTGAAAGTGATATTGAAGGACCAGAGCCAGCATTTAGAAGTGATTTTGATGCTTTAAACATTTTTTCACTCACCAGAGAAACTTTGAAACTTTGATTTCTGGGTCTTTGGGATATCTTCACAAAATCCCCGGAGGGGGCAGGTTTTGATTATATGAAAGTATTAGTCACTCAGTCATGTCCAACCCTTGGCAACCCCGTGGACTATAGCCCACCAGGCTCCTCTGTCCATGGGATTTCCCAGGCAAGGACACTGGAGTGGGATACCGTTTCCTTCTCCAGGGGATCTTCCTGACCGCGGATCAAACCTGGGTCTCCTGCGCTGCAGGAAGATTCTTTACCATCTGAGCCACCAGGAAAGCCCTTGATTATATATATATACATATAAATGAAATGTCTGTTTGGTTTTTCTTTAAACACAAATCACACATTTTCATAGAATATTTGCAAACTTCAAAAAGAATTACTCATAAGTTTTTTGATTCATAATCCTTATACTTTGTACATAGTTTCTAAATTTCAAAATCTGAATGTTTAAATGTAAATTTACGTGATACACCCCCAAATATACTCCATCTTAAATGGTGCATTTGAGACCATTACTATTTCTATTTGGTAATTACCTATAACATTAAGTGTAATTAGGTACGTTTGGACATGATTGAACCACTGAAACAGAAGTCAGGTAAGAATTTAACTAACATGGATTAATGTTCAGAAACAGATTATAAGTCTGACAACTAAGGAAACACAACTCGATGAACTTGGGGTTATTTTGTCAAATAATTGATACGGTTTAGTTTGCAAGGATAAGGGAGTGGGATACTTATATTTGACAGTAAAATATCTCTATTAAGTGTGAACATTTTTTTTACCATATTTCTACTAGCACATTAAAGTATATTAAGTCCTTCTGGGCTTTTGGGGACTTCCCTGGTGGCTCAGACGGGAAAGCGTCTGCCTGCAATGCAGGAGACCTGGGTTCGATTCCTGAGTCAGGAAGATCCCCTGGAGAAGGAAATGGCAACCCGCTCCAGTACTCTTGCCTGGAAAATTCCATGGACAGAGGAGCCTTCTAGGCTACAGTCCAGTCGCAGAGTTGGACACGACTGAGTGACTTCACTTCACTTCCCTTCTGGGCTTTTGAGCTTTTCCATTCTCATCCTTACTAATTCAGTTCAGTTCAGTTACTCAGTTGTGTTGGACTCTCTGTCATGCCATGGACTGCAGCACGCCAGGCTTCCCTGTCCATCACCAACTTCTGGAGCTTGCTCAGTCTCATGTCCATCGAGTCGGTGATGCCATTCAACCATCTCTTCCTCTGTTGTCCCCTTCTCCTCCAGCCCTCAATCTTTCCTAGCATCAGGGTCTTTTCCAATGAGTCAGTTCTTCACATTAGGTGGCCAAAGTATTGGAGTTTCAGCTTCAGCTTCAGTCCTTCCAATGAATATTCAGGACTCATTTCCTCTAGGATGGACTGGTTGGATCTCTGCAGTCCAAGGGACTCTCAAGCGTCTTCTCCAACACCATAGTTCAAAAGCATCAATTCTTCGGTGCTCAGCTTTCTTTAATTTCTAACTATTTAATTAGAATTTCTAATTTTCTATTAATAATTTAATTAGAATTTCAAATTATTTAATTTTAAAAAATGTTTATTGTCTTCTTCATTTTAGACCTTAGGAACTCATTGCCAGTGTTGCCTTAGAGCGTTTTGTTAGCCCTGACTTTGGGGAACCCTATTCAAAGAAGCAAAGACTCAGACAGGACTGAGTGATTCAGCAACAACAACAATTTAAAGAAGCAGTAAAGGTGGAGAGATGGCCAGACCTGGGTTCAGGAAAGTGAGCCAGCAGCAATAAGCTTCAGTTTTATCTTCTCTAAATATGCCTGCTTTCTTATAGGATTGTAAGAAATTTCTTAAATTGATCCAGGGAAATAAGAATGTAGTGGGATAGTATTTTGAAATATAACAGGATTTCCTCCCTTGTCCGATTTCCTTGCACCCTAAGCCATCCCCCCATTCATTAAACATCATCCTTTGCCATACGTTGTGGATAACAGAGCAGATAGACTGTTAAAAATCTTTCATTTCCTAATGTTATAAAAATTTTGAGTTGAAAAAAAAACCCCAGCTATTTATTGTGTTGAAAATGATTCAGCACATAGATAAAAACCATGTCCATGAGACCTCGTTGTTTATTTCACTAGTTGGAGAACTGTTTTCTTTATTCACAGGCTAGAGAAGATTTGAAGAGAAATGAACAGAATTGGTCTTGAATGGCTCTCTGTATTCTGCTACCTGAGGTCATGTCCAAGGTTGTGGGCCCTTCTTTAGGTGTTAGAGATCTCAGGAGAGAGGGATATTTCAGGATAACTGAGAAGAGACTATGGATCCTCAAAGGAGAAAGGACTAGGGACCTGCGGTCACTGAGGACTTGGTGATGCTAAGGAGAACATCTTGGGAATTGCCAGTTGGATCATGAGGCTGCCAAGGACCAAGTGTCAGCCCAGATGCTTTGGCAGTGCAGGCGTCTTGGTGGAATGAGGCAACCACCACAGAGCTGAATAGACTGGGACCCGGTGTCTGATATTGAGTGCAATGGAGACCAAACATGCAAATTAAAGTTTTAGGGGAATATTTTCATTTCTTATAAAGCTAATTTTGTACCTAAGACAATATGTGTGTGCATGTGCTCAGTCGTGTCCAACACTGTGTGACTCATGGACTATACCCCACCAGGCTCTTCTTCCATGGAATTTTCCAGGCAAGAATACTGGAGTGGGTTGGCTTGCCATATATATTAAAAACGTATGAAGGGGTCAAGGGATACAGAAAACATGCTATATGATATATATATAATATAAAATACATTTAAAAAACTTATCAAGGAGTACATATGCTGCTACTGCTGCTGCTAAGTCGCTTCAGTCGTGTCCGACACTGTGCGACCCCATAGATGGCAGCCCACCAGGCTCCCCCGTCCCTGGGAGTCTCCAGGCAAGAACACTGGAGTGGGTTACCATTTCCTTCTCCAGGAGTACATATATACCTGCTCAAACCCAGGTCTCCTGCATTGCAGGCAGACTCTTTACCAACTGAGCCACCAGGAAAGCCAGTATACTTGCTATGATATATATCATACATATTGGGTTGCCATTTCCTTCTCCAATAACTTACCAAGTGGTACATAAAACATTAAAAAATGACAATTTTACAGTATGGATAAATCCTTCAGGTTCTGAAAGTGATTAAGGTTTTGAATTAAATAGATTTCCACTGTATGCTTTGCTAAGCTTGATAAAATTAAAAGTAGTGATCACTAAGAAATGATATAAATTTTTATTAAAAAAGCACTGTTTTATATAGTAACCATCATTCAGATGAATAATATACATTATGAACTTTAATTATGGAGAATATGCAGGTAGAGTATATATTAAAATTTTATTAGACTATTTGGAGGATTTCATAATTCTATTTTCAAAGGAACACATGTGGTAGTCAAATATTTCTTATGAACATGAAAATAAAATAAGCTGCGAACTATTTTTTATGAGCTTGCCTGACTGTTTAGCATAAGCAAGTAAGTTAAACTTGGGGGAGCAAAATTTCATATCACAACCACAATGTATAGGTAGTGTTAGTTATGTCTGACACTTTGTGACCCCAAGGACTATAGCCTGTCAGGCTCCTCTGTCCATGGGATTTTCCAGGCAAGAATATTGGAGTGGGTTGTCATTTCCTTCTCCAGCCACAATGTATATGGAGACCCAAAATCTTCAAATTAACACCATTGTGAGTAGCACAGATTCACTGTGAGCATTTACAGAAGTATGTATTAATCTGAATCACCCAGTGTTAATAATTACATGTCTACTTACATTTATATTTAGACACATTACCTAACTAAAACTGCACATCATCTCTAGGTCTTTTACTTGGTGAATAGGGAAAAAACACATTTTTCACAAGCAGTGTATAAATTTGCTCCATACTTCCATCTAGAATGCAAGTGTTAAACTTCATGAATTCTAACAACAAGAAAATGATCTTTGCATTTAAGCATGAGGCATTTTTTAAATGTTCTGAAATCAAGTAAGCATAGTATCATAATTCTAACTATCCAAAAAACATTATAGAACAAGTAGATGTACAAAATTTAAAGTAAAAAAATAAACTGTAGACATGATATTACCAGTTATCCCACCTTATGAAAAGGATTTAATGATTGTGTAACAACATATTTCATTGACTATTTTATAAATAATATTTTCACAGGTCTTTACTAGAAAGTTGGGTACTTCTAGAGGCTGCATTATAAAGTGCAGGATATAGAAAAGAATTTCTTTTATTGAAAGTGTGGCTGCATACTATAAAGTAATATAAGTTATTTCCAAGAAGCAGTATAGGAAATTCAGGTATAAACTCACTGACACAATTATTCCATGCAAGAGTTGTGTCAATCTAATGAAAAAATTAAACATAGGACTTTGAATAAAAATCTCACAGATTGCGCTAGAAATTTTAAATCCAGTTAACCTCACTGAGGCTCAGTTGCCTAATAAATAAAACTACAGAGCATCTGAAATATAAAAGATTTTATTCATTGCAAAACATCATTAAATTTGCTCTTTATTAGTTTGTTAGCCATCTATTTAGAGTAATATACTAAAAGCTAGTACTGGGAACTTATTCTATACTTAAAACTTTACATGTATTATCTTTAAACCATCCCACCAGCATGGTGAAATGTACTCTACTAAGAAATGAAAATATTTCTGAAAAACTTTAATTTACATGTTTGGTCTCCATTGCACGCAATATCAGCACTCTAATAATCTATACTTTACCTAGAAAGTCTTCGAATTTTAGTGTGATTGAGTAATTTTATCAGGATTATTTAGCTACTGCAGATACTTTAGAATATTCATAGCAATCTTTAAAAAAGAGGAACAATGTTGGAGAACTTAAAAACTATTGCAAAGCTACAGTAAATAAGACAGTGCTGACCTGACATAAGGATAACAAATATAAAATCGGAATCAAATAGAGACCAGAAATAGTTACATGTATGAGCTTCTGAGTTTTGACAAAGTCAGTAAAGTGATTCAATGAGAAAAAGCAATGTCTTTTCAACAAATGGTGCTGGAATAATCGATCTCTATATGGACAAAATAAACCTCAATTTATGCCACACAGTTATCAAAATTAAAAGCTAAAAAATAAGGCTTTTAAAGAAAAGCATCTTTGTGACTTGGGAGTAGGCAAAACATTCTTAGGCCACAAAAAGCAGTAACTAGTAAATGTTTAAAATTATACATTAGATATCTTCAAGATGAAAATCTGCCTTTCAAAATTACCATCAATAAAATGCATATACAATCCCTATATTGAGGGGTAACATCACAGGACTAGTTCTTAGACATATAAATAATCATCCAGCTCAGAGATAAAAATACAAAAACAAAATTAAAATATGGAGAAAAATTTGAATAAATGCTTCATTAAAGGATATACATGGTTGTTCGATATGTATATGAAAAAGTGATTAATATTAATATTATCAAGTAATTAATAATGTAAAATTCCACAGAACAGTCACCAGAATGACTTGAATTCATAAAATTGCTAATACTAAATATTAGTGAACATGTGAAACACGAAATTCTCTTTCATATTTGATGGAAGATGATGAAATAAAATTTGTATTTTAAAGAAGGACAAGAACATTTAAAAGTAAAAATTCTCTCTCTGAGCTTGGGCCTCCTCCCTCTGTCCCTAATGTGCAATGTACATCTATGCCTCATGTTAACCAGACCTCAAAGTGGGAATGCCGGGGATTTAACGAACTCTCGCGAGGTTTAGGCCTCTTTCTAGGCCTGCTCGAGTCGGCAGCGGCAAGAACCTTTGGCCGCCTCTGCAAGGTCCCGGCCATGTTCAGCTCCAGCGCCAAGATCGTCAAGCCCAACGGCGAGAAGCCGGACGAGTTCGAGTCGGGCATCTCCCAGGCCCTGCTGGAGCTGGATATGAACTCGGACCTCAAGGCGCAGCTTTGCCCCAAAGCAGAGAACTCAGTAAGTAGAAGCTTCATTGCATAACCCGCATATTTTTTAAAAAAATCTTTTCTTAGTCTTTCAGCAAGATTCATCTCCATCTACTCAAAGAATAAATTAAGAACTTAACACATTGAGGACAGAAAAATAAAAGACGGAGAGTATCCTTATATCCGAAAATAAAACAGGTGCTTTATTTTTTTTTATTTTTTATTTTTTTTTACTGTGAATAATATTTTATTTAGTCATTTGTTTACAACTGAAACTCTGGGAATTCAAAAAATTCAAAAAGAGCACGTCGTCTTCATTGCCCAGAGGAGAATTCTGCCTAAGCCAACTCGAAAAAGCCGTACGAAAAATAAGCAGAAACGTCCCAGGAGCCGCACTCTTGACCGCCGTGCACGACGCCATCCTGGAGGACTTGGTTTTCCCCAGTGAGATCGTGGGCAAGAGGATTCGCGTGAAACAGGTGCTTTAGAAACACTCTTTTTTAAAAAGAAAAGCATTAATATAAGGAATTGATATCCGAAAAAGTCAATTCCTTATATTAATGCTTTTCTTTTTAAAAAAAGTGTTTCTAAAGCATCTATTTTATTTTCTGTTAAAATAAATGAAAAGCAAAGATGATTTTATTTTACACCTGCCTGAACAATAACAAAGTTTCCTTATACCAAATAAGACAGAATCTTCACTGAGAAAGTAGTGACAATTCATAAGGAATGCCTGCTCCACAGGAAGATCTTTCCTTCTTGACACTAGCTATGTAACCTCTTAAGAGAATAACATTTTCCCCATATCTGTAGGGGGTCATAATGCCTTGTTGCTCCCCATGTACTATGCCTGTGAAAAGTGAAAGTGTTAGTCACTCAGTGTGGCCAACTCTTTGCCACCCCATGGACTGTAGCTGGCCAGTCTTCTATGTCTATGGAATTCTCCAGACAAAAATACTGGTGAGTGAGTGAATGAATGAAAGTCACTCAGTCGTGTCTGACTCTTTGCGACCGCATAGGCTACACAGCCCATGGAATTCTCCAGACCAGAATACTGAAGTGGGTAGCCTTTCCCTTCTCCAGGGGATCTTCCCAACCCAGGGATTGAACCCAGGTTTCCCACATTGCAGGTGCATTCTTTACTAGCTGAGCCACAAGGAAGGCCCAAGAGTACTGGAGTACTATCCCTTCTCCAGGGGAACTTCCCAACCCAGGAAATCGAACCAGGGTCTTCTGCATTGTAGGCAGATTCTTTACCAACTGAGATACCAGGAGTGGGTTGCCATTCCCTTCTGCAAGGGATCTTCCTGATCCAGGGATCGAACCTGGGTCTCTTGCACTGCAGGCAGGATCTTTACCATTTGAGCCACCAAGGAAGGCCCTTGTACTATACTTACTTGGACTATTAGTCTTTGGTGAACTTTATGTAAAATATCAGTATAATCCTGTGTCTTGAAAATGTACATGACTGAGCCATACCCTTCCGACAGACAGAACAACTCTCAGGGTTTCTGAGAGTCTATCTCTTGAATTATAATCTTTAGTGTGGCTTGAATAAGATTTCTTTTCATTAATTCTTGGCTTGACTGTTGACTGAAATTTCATTGACAAAGAGTTAAATGATACAACCACTTTGGAAAGTTCTGGCATTTTTATATAAAACTGAACATGGCTAGACACATCTCACGCATCTTTCAATTAGGAAAATGCATAAATAAAATATTGTATGTTCATACAGTCAATCAGCAATAAAGCAGAAAGGATACAGACAACATCATGGATAGATCTCAAAAACACTGTGTGGAATGAAACAAATCTAACAAATAGTACATCTTCTATGATCAATTTATGTTAGTATTAAATCAGTCTACCCTAATACAGAGTTAAAAAAAAAAAAAAAAGGAGAGTAGGGTTTGCTTCTGGTGGCTCATGGTGGGGATTTACCAGGAAAGAGATGAGGGAACTTTCTGGAGTGATGACAAAATTTTGGGTTACACAAGTGTATGCATTTTCAAAACCCAGCAAACAAGCATTTAGGCTTTGTGAATATCATTGCTTAATTATTTTACAGTGAAAGGAAAGAAACTGTAAGTGATCTTCAATGCTAGTTAATGATATACATGCTGAAGTGATGAGGAAAAGTGTACAGATTTACACAACTTATGCTTGAATGAATAAAAATAAGATATATTGGTGGATGGATAGTTGAAATGTATACATAATTAAAGACATAGAGAAAAATGATACTAGAAGAATCTAGCTGGGGGTATAGGTGCTTTCTGTAAAATACTCTTAACATGTAGTATGGGCTTCCCTGGTGGCTCAGTGGTAAAGGATCCACCTGCAATGCAGGAGACCTGGGTTCAGTCCCTGGGTTGGGAAGATCACCTGGAGGAGGGCATGGCAACCCACTCCAATATTCTTACCCAGAAAATCCCCATGGACAGAGGAGCCTGGCGGGCTTCAGTCCATGGGGTCGCAAAGAATCCGACACGACTGAGTGACTAAGAACAGCAGGTAGAATGCTTGAGAATTTCTGTAGTAACTTGTGGGAAAGAAAGTGTGGTCACAGAACTTATAGGATTATCCAGTTTTTGGGGGTAAAGTTTGTGAAACTGTGTGCTATGAAAATCTAAATAAAAAAATGTTAATTGATGCTAATGCTTGATGATTATTGACTATTATAATACAGATATTAATGACATACAGGAATACTGAAAAAATATGTAATTCCTGTTGCTAAATCACAACATAAATGTTATAGTATTCAAAGTCTATATTTTACAATATTCCCTGGAAAGGAGTATCTAGAAAATACGTCTGATATTAATAGTTTACCTCGAAATTCAAGAGTTTTAGGTATTTCTGGATAAACTCATATTTACTTCCATATTATGAAAATTCAAATATGTCTAAATAATAAACATATGTAATAAAATTCCAACAAGAATCTCAGTAGAGTCTCTTGAAACAAAACTTTATGTCAAAATATTTTTAGAGGAAAAATATGTATGACAGTTTTCAGATTTGTTAAATGAAGGTAAAGTAGGAGACTCTCCTTTTAAAATTAGAACTTAATATAAAGGTATTTTAATTAAAATGATATCAAAATTATAAATAGAAAATTTGGTCAATGAAACACAATACAATCTAAAACAAATGGCAAGTATATATGAGAAGTTAATATTTGACAAGCTGTAGCAATCCTTTTGGGGTGGAAAATATGAGGTTATTTAGTAAATGATGCTTAATATGTTGACTTTCCATACAGAAGAAATAACATTAGATACTTAACAAACTCTGTAAGAATAATTTCTAGATTTATCTATTAAAAATATAAATATGAATAAATTAGAGACTATTTTCCAATAGAAAATTGAAAGAAAATTCAGAACATAATTTCCCATTTTATTTACTCAAAATATAAAAGAAATATATTAGAAATAAATATATAAGAAATAAGCTAGTGTACAAAATAAACAAAATTAGAAGAAATCCAAATCTAGAAAAGGGAAATCTTTGAAACAAAACTAAAACCCAGAAATCATAAGGAAAAAGAATTTAGATCATTTACAATTTCAGTCTTTGGTTGGACTGATTTTTCTCCAGTTGCCCTCCACTTCTCAAACTAGCCTAGAATCCCTTTAGAATGCCCTGGGCTCAGATTAGGAGACTGGAATCAGACTAAACCTGGATATAAGTAGACTTTTGGCAACAGAATATCAACCGATAAATGATGCCCTGAGTTTCTTTATTGAAATTTTCAAGCTTTCACTGAGGAAAGTTTACAACATACACTTACTCATTTTACTACAAAATACTTTCTAAAAGGCCTGTTGAAAACTGAAGCCCACGTGTATTAGAAGAACTTGTGCATTTCTATGTTGTTAGTCTCTGGAATTAGTGAAGAACAATTGTGTTCATTTTTATAGCATTATAGTAATCACAATAATGGATTGCAGAGGAGTTTTCATAGTGGGTAGTCAGGGATTATAGCAGAGAGAAGGATTAATGTTGAATTGAAGTCATTCCTCTGCCTGTATTTTCCAAGTAATTCAGTTTTGGTGTTTAGATACCAGAAATGTAACAAGATTTTGTTTTTAAGGTGTTATGCAATTCTCAAATTTGAAAATGAGTGGTCAAGATCTCTAGAATTCTCAACACACTGAGAAAATGATTCAGACTTCTCTTACTCTAAGTCGTAAGATGCAATTACTAAATGCAAACTTAAGCAGAACTTGAGTATGATGTGTCTTGTTCTTGATAAATATTTAACACTGTACCAGAGATAGAGCTGGCACTCATTATTTGCCATTTCAAGGATGAAATAAATGGGGAATTGAACAGAAAAGTGTCTTAAGAAGAAATAATACAATGCAAACTGTGACCTGAACATATATTCTTATACTATCTCATCACTGTTACTGTCTTATCACTTTAAGCTACCCTGACTTTCTTTAGCTGCAAAGGGCATGGTTTCTGTTATCACATTTGTATTATTTCCTGCCCATTTGCACACCCTTTATTGTCTCTTCCTGAAAATTAGATCAAACAAATCCCTCTGTCAATCATTACTCCCAGTTCTCAAGTGAAGGGAAGCATCTCATGAACATTTGCTACTAACTCTAAACAAATATATAAATACATAACAGAGAATGAAAGAACAAAAGGAAGGAAGGAGGAAAGAAAGGGAGGGAAGAAAAGAAAAGAGGAGAGAGGAGAGGTATGGGGAAGGGAAGTGGAGAGGAGAAAAACACTACTTCATCATCACTTTTTTTTTTCTCATAGGTAGAAAAATACCAGCAAAGTATTTTACCTCTTTACTGAAAAACTCTCTCAGGGAAAAAACCCACACCATTTAATAACTTGTGGCTTTTCCTTGAACACAAGAATGAGGCAAATTAAAGTTCCATGTTTCCAGAGATTAATTAGGAGCCTGTCAACCTCACATTTTTGTTTTAAATTATATACATATGAGAATGGAAATGATGAAAAGATCCCAATTCTATCATTAAATATTAACTCATTTTACTAATTCAAAGTCTAGATTCTTGCCTTATTCTTGAACTGGGAGAAATGATGACCGAAGCTTTGTTTTATCTGATTTGCAGGAAGAGACCATAAAGGGTATGCAAATGGGCAGGAAATAATACAAATATGAAGACAGAAACCATGTGCTTTGCAGCTAGAGAAAGCTCGGGGTAGCCTAAAGCTGTAAGATAGTAACAGTGATAAGTTAATAGAATGCAGATCCTAACAATCCTTGGACAATGGGCATTACATTATACATTTTATCACTTTTCACCAAAGACTGCAGAAATTCTATTGAACTGCAATAATTTAGCTACATATTAATTAAAGAAAAAAGAAAAAGAACATTTATAGTTGGATTATTTCAGGCAAACAGATTATGCTGTCCTTTATGACTATTTGTTGTTTAGTTAACAAATACGTCCCTGCCAAAAACCAGTATCACTTGATACAAAAAAAAAATAAGCTCTACGTACGTATGTTTAAAAGTCATATGAAGACTAGTGCAAACCTTGGCACATATTAAGCATTCATTAAACAGCTGTTGAGTAAATAAATTATAGCTACCTACTACATATCCACACCAAAATATTACCTAAACTCTATAATAAACTTTTTGAAATGTTTCTTTCTAGTTTTTTACTCTTGACAAAAACAAAATCAAGGACAGCATAACTTCTTACCCCATAAATTACACATTTACTTGGTCAATCAATGTCACCTTGTTGATTAGACTTAGGTGTCAGCTAAGGGTACTTCTTATTGCCCTGAAAGGAAAATTGCCAGCAGGGCTTGTAAGGATCTTCTCAGACACTGCTTTTAATCTTCAGTACACAAATGAATAATTGAACACTGCCAGCATTATAGTACTTTGCTTCTGTTTCAGTTTTGGAATTTAGATCAGTACCACTCATCTTGAGGGCTGCCAATCTGCTTTTAGCACTAGCAGATAAGTCTAGCTAGGCTCAGTGTTTAAGTACTTTATGAATAATTAGAAAATAAGAGCCAGAAACATGATATACTAATTATAATTTAATTCACATCCATACTTATGAAAGTTGAGACATGTCAGCAAGGTAATTAAAATAGCAATTGGTTCTTACTCCTTTTTTGGCAATAGGCTTTTCATAATGAAATTTGTGAAATGAGTACATAATTACTAAAATGTTAGAGGCAAAAAAAGAAATGTTTCTTTTAGAACTTAGTAATTAAAATTTTTATTGAATGAAACTCTGGTATCCGTGATAAAACACAGCTCAAAAAAGCAGGAATTTCCAGTGGTCATGTATGGATGTAAGAGTTGGACTATAAAGAAAGCTGAGTGCCAAAGAATTGATGCTTTTGAACTGTGGTGTTGGAGAAGACTCTTGAGAGTCCCTTGGACTGCAAGGAGATCCAACCAGTCCATCCTAAAGGAGATCAGTCCTGGGTGTTCATTGGAAGGACTGATGTTGAAGCTGAAACTCCAATACTTTGGCCACCTGATGCGAAGAGCTGACTCATTTGAAAAGACCCTGATGCTGGGAAAGATTGAGGGCAGGAGGAGAAGGGGATGACAGAGGATGAGATGGTTGGATGGCATCACCGACTCAATGGACATGAGTTTGAGTAAACTCCGGGAGTTGGTGATGGACAGGGAGGCCTGGCATGACTTGGACATGACTGAAGAACTGAACTGAACTGAACTGAATGTTAGACACATGTATCTAAGTAATACAATAACAAATGATATTACACTTCTTATACATAGGCATTTAGTATCCTCATTATTCAGTTTTACTAATTAACAAATTACAACAACATTACTATGTGTGAGATAGAGTGCGGCTATTACTGAACTAAAGATAAACAAGGAAGATGTAGATCCTGTTGTGGTGGGAACACAACCTTGTTAAGTAGAAAAGGAAAAAATAATTTATACAAAAATGTTGAGTTGCCAACTGAGAATAGAATCTTAAATCAAGACTATAACACACTATGAGACACTGTTTTCACATATTCTTCAAACTCCTAAATCCTTCTGGTTCAGTATAAAGTAAATAATTTTCATATTTGTCTTATTAAAAATACTTTGATCACATGAAGAGGCCCACTTTCTCTGTTATTAACTAGCTGTTTAAATCTGTGCTACTCACCGAGTGAGAAACCACATTTTTAAAGGTCTTTTATCACAGAAATACAAGGGCTGCAAAATTTACTGTTGTAAAAGTGTGACATTTTTCTTTAACATTTTTCAACTTGATTTTTCTAATTTTATTTGAGTATTTTTTCCATTCATCCACCTAGGAAGGGCTGAGCCTGCTTTTCATGAAACAAAATGAGTTGCTCAATATTTTATTGTGTTTTCAAGGCAAAGACTCTCTCTCAGGTTAATATTTTAATTTAGCTTTAAAAATGATTTTAAATATGCAATTTATTTTTAATATCAGTAAGGTTGTCTTTTTTCATATCATAGGAAATGCACTTTAGTATGCTATCTGTGTGTGTTAGTCACTTAGTCGTGTCTGACTCTTTGTGACCCCATGGACTGTTTAGCTCATCAGGCCCCTCTGTCCATGGGATTCTCCAGGCAAGAATACTGGAGTGGGCTGCCATTTCCTTCTCCAGGGGATCTTCCTGACCCAGGGATTGAACCCAGGTCCCCTGTATCACAGGCAGATTCTTTACTATCTGGGTTATAGGGAAGTCCAGTACACTATTTACCTATTTGAAATTAATGATAGAAAATATTGTTTTTTTAAATATAATATTGTATTGGTTTAAGGTATAATAATTTTAATATATGTATATATTGCAAATATATATACTATACCATATATATATATACCAAGTTATATATAATATATATAGTTTTACATACAATTTATACAATATATATTGAATATAACATTTCTTGAATTAAGAACAATAGATAAGTTGTTATCTTATCTAAACAATAGACTAGATTTTAGTATTTTACCTTTTATCAATGATTTCCATGATTATCCTGGGGAGAATACACTACAAAATTGTCTTCTCAAACTGACAGACAGAGCTTATTTCACCAAATATATAAGATTAAGGAGTCCATCATAGGGCAGTTAAGTTCTGCCTTTTACTGATGGCTGTTTACTTTGGTTTCTGTATTTCCCTCTAGTTCTCTGACTATTTATAGCTTTCTCTCATTGTCTGCCTCCCCCTTTTTTATGCCTATATGTGCCATATATTTCATTATCTACATCAGATTTTCTGAAATCCCTATTTGTATTAGTCCTCCTGTCAACATCCTCCATAACTGCCTTTTCTTTTCTTTTTCCACACTTCTCCTGTCTGATATATTTATTTTATATCCATTGTACATTTGTAAAGGAAAAATACACAGAAGGATAGAATAGTAACTCACACGTTCTTGCGCTCTATCAAATAGCTGATTACCTATTTGCCATGTAGACAGGGAACATCAACTCCTTATACAGTTTTGTAGCATATTTTCTACTTCAGTTCTTTATATATCAAGGGCCATCATCAGTGATGGAAACTATGACACAGGTATAGAGGCCAGGACTTACCTGAGGTCTTGGGAAGGTTCTGCTCGGATGTGAGGTGTCTCAACAGAGTGCCCGAACACTGCTCCTTCAGTGCCTGAGGGCGACATGAGGGCAAGAGTCAGCATAAGCAAATGGACAGACACAGTCGTTTTCATTTCTGTTTTTATACATTAAATATTCTTCTAAGAATGGGAAAACTTAAAATAGGACTACAACAAATAAAAAGAGAAAACCTGGAAAAGAGTTCAAGGTAGTGAAGGACCAAAAAGGGTAAATCTAAGTCTCATCATTAGTTGCTGTTCAGTTGCTAAATAGTGTCTGACTCTTTGCAGTCCCACCATGTTGACCCTCTTTAAGACAATCTCATTCATAAAAGTTCAGACTGAGTGAAGATTGTAACCCTCTGATCACAGAACAAATATTTATCTCTTTCCTGTTCCTTTATTCTCAGGTAAGTGAATTTGAAGTAGGGATATGTTACAATATTCAGTTCTTTCTACAAGCAGCAAAGTTGAAATGAAAATGTGGACAGTGGGCTCTGATGCAGTATAGTATTAATTGTTTAAAGGCATGGGTTTCATAGGGCATTTAGCAAGTCACCCACAAGCAGCTCCCACCTTTAGTTAGAGTGATCATCAAACTGCAGAGAACAGGGCACTTTACTTTTGACTTCTGTGAAATTAAGGTTCAATCTAAAACCATAAATGGCTAGAACTCATTAGAGTGGACTTTATATGAGATCATAGTTATCTCAAGAGGTCATGTGCTCAGGCAGTTGAATGATATTCTATCTAAACCTTTTGTCTATTATTGTCATTTGATTTTCCAGGATGATAAGAGTTCTAATTTAACTGAGAAAAATAAAATGATTTTCTTTTACAAAAATCAAATGCAAAGACGTTTGTTAAAGATGATGAAAAACACAGCCTCCTTTTTTTCCTTTGTAATTTTACATAAATGAAAGCATTCCCTTGGAGATAATTATCTATTATCTATCTATCTATCTCTATTATCTTTTGGTTTATTCTTATTCAAACATCTTGGTGTAAGAATGTCACACCTTCTCCATCAATGGCTTCTAACAGCAACTTGATAATATAGTGCAAATACAAATACAAACTTTATACCTTCATTGTTAAGCTGTTTCTACTTATCATGAAGAACAATATAAAGTAAATTGATTCCATAAGCAATGAAGAAAGTGCCATTAGGAAATTACAGAAAGCATTTAACTTCCTTAAAAGTAAGGGTATATATGGGGAAATATACTAGAATCACCAGAGGACTCTATACAAAACAGCAAAGCAATTCTTCCACCTTGAATCACAGAGAAAGAAATTGTTTTCAAAATCTGTTACATGGTTCCATCTATATTATGGTTTGAAGTGTAAATGTATAAGGTTCTGCTACAGTAAATTCCTAAGATTACAGATTTCAGTTTGTAAACTCAAAGCCATCCACAATTGTTAACTTCTTACTGGATTTTAGTAGTTGTTGTTGGGTTTGTTGTTTTGTTTTTTCCTAGAGAGGATATTTAGGGCATACTGTTTATTTATTTAACTGTTTTCACACATTTAGAGCAATTATTTCTTTAAGGAATTTTCTCTTTTTATATTTTGTAAAATATTTTATTTCTGTTAGTGAACAATTCTCAGGAATAAGTCTTTGGAAGTAAAGTAACAGTTTTAGATAAAACTCTGATTTTGTGATTGTGGAGGGTGGCATCTGAATCAATATTTTAGGGTACATACTTCCATTTCTCAAGGAGAGACTCCTTTGGCATTTTAAAATAAGATGTAATTTATAGATGGGATAGATAGCCATGTGCAGAGTTCAAAAATTAATTTCTACTATTTTATAATTTTGAAAACTTCCCAGATAAGATGCCAGAAACATATGATGTAACACAGATTACATAAACATATAATGAATAGTAGTAAAATTTATTTTGAAACAGAATGGAACATATAGTAACTTAGTACAGAATATATCAGTGAAAGTGAAAGTAGAATGTTATTAAATGTTTAATTTTACAATGAGGATGAAAAACTGATAAAGGTCTCAGTTCTAAGTATCAACAGAAAATGTTGGTGATTTTTGTTAAGAAAAGATTCTTGAAGAAATAACTGCATAATCATACCACCTAAGGGGCTAAATTGAAAACTGCATAAAATAACATAAATAATTAACTCACTTCAGACTTCCAGATAATGAGAAAATTAATCTCATCCTCTCACTTTTTGTCCCCAAATGAGTCAAAGGGGCATCAGTAAATAAGCAACAAGGATGATCTTAAAAGGAAATCAGTGAGGAAGAAGAAAAGCCATCTGAACCAGAAACAAACTCTCATAGTATAAAAAATTTAAAAATGTATAAATATAGATTTCCCATGAACAGGAAAGTTCTACAAATATCAGATTATTGGTGGGGTTGCCAGACTTAGCAATTTAAAATACTGAACACCGAATTAAGTTTGAAGTTTGGTTAAAAATAAAATCATATTTTAGTATAAGTATGCAAGCTTGCAGGGGGAATGTACTTATACTAAAAATCACTTGTTGTTTGTTTGAAATTTAAAATTTACTTGGCACCATATATTTTACCTGGTAAATCTAACCATTCTGTGTGTGTGTTAGTCGCTCAGTCGTGTCTGACTCTGATCCCAGGGACTGTAGCCTGCCAGGCTCTTCTGTCCATGGATTTCTCCAAGCAAGAATACTGGAGTGGGTTGCATTCCCTTCTCCAGGGGATTTTCCCAACACAGGGATCGAACCTGCATCTCCTCCTGCATTGCAAGCAGACTCTTTACCATCTGAGCCACCAGTAATATAACCATCAGTCAACATTTATTTGGGACAAAAAGTACAGATCTGCTTTACCCTCACTTCAGGAAAACAAAAATGTGTGATGAATTCTCACATCTTAAGTTATAGAAACCATGGAAACCAAAAAGGAAGAGATACAAAATAACAGAGAAAAAGTAACATAACTCTGACATTTATTAATATGTACATTTAAACTTACTGAATAAATAAATATATTTTGTTTATTACTTTTGGAAAGGATTGTTCAAAAGGGCACAGTATCAGTTTTGCTTCACTATACAGATGCTAAAGTATATTTCAGATAACTTAATGTGAATGTTATAAGATGTAGAGAAAATATAGACTGTTAATTTTTGTAATGGTCAGGAAAAATGAGGCTGGCAAACCTCATGGTCAAAAAACACTGGCTCTCATTCATACAATAATTTCTAGCCTTAAAACAGAAGAACAACAGTGTCATATTTTTTGGTAGAAAGAAGAAAGAGTATATGAATTGTGGTCCTACTTTATATACAAAAACAGTTTTAGATATAAGCTACTAGAATAGGATGCTATTCTTTACAAATGCCTGACATTAAATAACACCCCTACCATTAAAAACATAATCAAAAATAAATTTATATATCCTTCCAAATATGGCTGTCCATAAATGCAATACTCTAATTTAAAGCTACTCATCATCAACCTACTGGCCTCTCTATATTCTTTGGGAAGGCCAGTGCAAGAAAAGAAAAGGAAACCCAAAACACCTGGTACTCCCAGCTCCTCAATTGATAGTAACTGAAAAAAAAATTATGTGTAATGTAGTGTCTCTCCAGCCACCGATCAGCTTCATGAATTCTACTGTAGTTAATTTCAGATAATACTTTATGAGGTTATTGGCTTTGTGTAGAAGAATCTGTGATCATCAGTATATATAGAAGCAAGGCAAAGATACCTCTATGCCTTGAAACATTAGTTTTATTTGTTTACTTAATTTTTCTCACTGATACTTGATAACAGATTATCTACACCTGAAAATAAGAAGGTCTAAACAGAGATTTTAAATACCTTATGATAAGGTTAGAATCTTGGAGTTCAGGTTTTATTATGGATATACTACATACTTTGAAATTAGTCAATTTGGGAAGCAATTCCAGCTCCTTTATTCCATCTAACTAACCTTGAGCCAGCTACTTAATCTCTCCAAACTTCAGTTCCCATAGATACAAATACATGTATGGCAATGCCAACCTTACAGGTCAGGTTAAGTTTTAAATAGGATAAAATGTATCTGTTTTTATGTAAGAATTCAATATTCCTTAATTCCCTCTATCAATTTTCTTTATGAAAGTCAGACACAGAAGAAGTACACATTGTGTCTACAGACTTAATGTCCCAACATAAGTCCACTCATTATTATGTGAAGTCTCTATTCCCAAATGTCAGAGCTTCGGGTAACATAATCTCATGTTGAATTTTAAAATCTGAAATTTAGACACTGAAAAGATATTCTTGAATTTAAAATGCATTTTAAATAGCTGCATTTTAGCAATCGCTAAGTCAAGGAATTCCTTAATGCAGCTGTTTGTACCAGTTAAGATCAATTGATGGTTAAATAAACTCTGAGAAAGAAGTTTCTTCTTAAAAAATGCCCAGCACGATCTTACTTTTAATTGAACTTCATCATAATATTGCATAGTAGACCCTTTAGTAACTAAAATGGATGGATGGCTATGATCTTTTTGTGTGTTTTTATACTCATTAGTTCTTTGTGCAGGATATAATAGAAATGCATCATTTGAATAACTGGAATAGGTAAAACAGTCATTAACTCTACTAGGATTTCAGTTTCCATTTAAAAATCAAAGGAAAAGTTAAAGAGTAGTACAAGGCATCATTCCTTAGGATATTTCTCTTCTCAAAGAGAGTATTTTCTCAAAGTGAAATCTTAGTCTTGTAATGGTAAGGATTCCAACCCAAAATCTTAAGGAGAATGAATCTGAGTAATATCAATCACACTACCACTTGAATCTAATCCATGGGATTATTAGGAGACTGAAATAATCAAAATATTCATTAACACTAGGCAACCTTTCAAATTGCTATATCAAAATAGGGCTGAAGTTCAGGGCAAATTCATTTAGATTTCAGGGACAAAAATATTCCTATTTATTCATTATCTCCAAGTCTGATCTTGTGCTATTAAATACATACACATTTTTTGTTGATTAAATTGAAAGAGACTTTCTAAATCTTTATTATTATTCTATTTGAGATCAGGGGTCTT